ACCTGTTAGGCCTAATTAATTTTAGAATGTTTTAAAGTGTTGCAATTGTGATGTATTTTAGTGTGTGATATGATGAGGCTGTTGACGAACTGTGATCTTTTAAATTAATAAAAAATTTTGAACTATCTGTTATTTTATAAAAACTGATGATGGTGGAAAAATACACCGAAACGTATTTTAATCGATAAATAGAGAAAATAAATGACTGAAACCCAGGAATTAATTTTGATTTAGAGTTGAAACACGGTCAGGAAAGTATGTACAATCATTGATAATAAGGGTGATTTCAATCAGTCATCAAATTATCAATAATGTATTCGACTAAATATTAGTAATGTATTGTAAATCAATACTTCCAATTCACCGATCAGTGTCCACAAAAAATATGCTTGGAAAAGGTCCACGACTAAATCTGAATCTAAATTTGCCGGAGTATAATGAATATTGAATTTCAAATAATTTTTTAAACCAAATAGATCATCCTCTGAATTGTTTTGGAATATTATATAGATGAATTATCATGGAATTTTTATTACTTACGTCTTAGTAAGTATGCACTTTTATTGTTGAAACCAATTAAAGGCACGAGTCCATGAAGTTCTTGTGCTGCAAAAAAACAAAAAAATTCTGAGGTAAAAGGTTTGGAATGAAACCTTATCGGAGATTTTTTCCTTCAATATATTTCACTAATCAAATATATTTTCACTGATACTCGTTGACATAACATAACAGCTTCATTCAATCGTATCTTTAATTATTTTTTAATAACCTCTATGCTATATTAAATTGATCTTTCATCAGAAATATATTTTCTGGAATGCAAGCAAAATAATTTATTATCAAGTTGCTAACTTAGTCGTGGTCAAATATAATGGATGCGTACAATCCGTCATCTTCTTAGTTAACAACCCTCTGCAATACCTATTTTTCCAATGCCAGTTCTTTCCCATGAACATCCAGAATCCCAATTACGATCGACTAAATTAAATTAAAATCCTAACAAGAGAGTCGACTCAATTTCTCCACATTATTGAGTTTTCGCAGAATAGAAAACTATTTGTGAATTAAGCCTTATATTTTTTCAGCAAACAATTAATATACTGAAGGACATATTATTTTACAGGATGTTTGGATGATGTCCGACTAGAAGGTAAACACCTGCCGCTGCCACCAGCCATGAATGGTACTCAATGGGGTCAGGCAACTATGGCCAGGAACCTGGACCGTGGATGTTCGTCCAATAAACCCTGTGCCAATGTTATCTGTCCAGAGCCTTTCGAATGTGTTGATTTGTGGAACGACTACGAATGCACGTAAGTATTGATTGGTTTCATTAATAAAACATTCCATAATTATTACTGAATGTTGTATGAGGCAATATTCATAATTAGGAATACTGACTAAAATTGTGTCCAGGTGGATAATTTATGAGGATTGGTACACGTTATTATCGTGTAGTGTGTAGTTTTAAACAGCTTAAGTAAATGAATTTACATATTCCAGTAAACACAGGCAAATGCACACAAACTTTTCACAACAGAATACGAGGTTACACCTATTTTCAGTTGCAAAGGTACTGAGTACGTTCCCATTTAAATATGTCTTTATGTTTTAGTAATACCCCAAGACTCATGCACAAAGTATTGATTTTTGAAACGAACTATTTTCCACTTAGTTCAATGTAAATATCACAAAGTATACATTTTATTTATGTACTAAAATACTATTAATTCAGACGTAAGCAGCATTGCTGCTCTTCGAATCAGATACATGAAAGGGATGCTTGAGAATGAGTTCAATGACCATTGTGCCTGGCCGGAATTAGCATTTCCAAACATAAAGAAACTGTTGTAGTTAATAAGCATTAACTCGGTGCCATTCGTCCCACTTTACAATAGGTACTCAAATATTCCGGTTTTATATCTACATTTATTATCTTGTTAAAACAATAACCAATTGTCTAAATGATCACAAAGTAAAGCTGCAATAACGCTCATTGCAGAAAGCTAACAAAAAGATATCTTCCCGTCGGTCTCATCAAAATGAAAGAATTTTAAAATTGTTTTCTCTGTATTCACAAGCGTAGCAATAAAACTAAATTAAAAGAATTACGTCGTAAAAGAATGTTTTATTTGAAATATTTGCAAATTATATTAGCTTCTTAAAAAAGGAAATTTTATTAGAATATCGCAGATCACAAGAAACGATATGAAAACAAACTGAATAATCACATAAGTGTGTAATGTAAGAGCGTATTTTCATAGACATAAACTCACTTTTGGGACCGTTTGCTTTAATTCATTTTACTCATTCATTAACTTGTAAGTCTTATTTAGCAATAAAAATTGATATTTTCGCATTTGCTTATATCTCAGCTAATTCCTAATTGGCGTGAAGGTTTTAGTGTTTATCTAACTTAAATCCTATTATTTTTCAGTAAAAATGAAGGCCTCATAAGAAGGGGCATTTGCTTGTAAACTATTGAAAGCACATTTTATTTGAGAGCGATTTAATTCAAGATTTTGTTTAATTGCATTTTAACCTTCATAAGCAGGATTGGTTTTGTAAATAACAATTAAGTTTTGACTGCAAAAATGTATTCAAGAAATTGGCTTAAAACAAAAACCTTCCTACATATGTTTTTAAAAATTCAGCATTTTCTATAAAAAAAGGGATGAGCACAGTTCAAATTTTAATTTAAAAAAGTAATTTTTATTAATATCAGATATATTCTTTCGATACTGCATTTCTAAAAGGCATGACGAATTCTTGGGGTGTGTGATGTACTTTTCATTATTTGATTTACTTTCTTGTGTAGTATGTAGAGGTATAGTTTTGTCTTGGTTTTGGGAGTGTTTTTGTCATTCCCGTCAATATTTTGGCTTTATTAATCTCTTTTTGCTTCGTTTGTGTTATTTTATTTGATTTTCTTGGCAATATATTGTACTTACATACATCGGGATTACACCATTCAATGTGAGTGTTAATGAGTCAGTTGTGTGCGAAAATATAACATTACAATGGACAGAGCTAAATAACCAGAACACAAACAATTTCACAAACACTCAACCACTAGCACAGTACGATTCTACAGTTTAAGACTCAAGAGTCTCCGATATAGGTATTGAAAACTTTACTTATAATCATGTTGTAATATTTAGAGAAATTTATAAAATATTGAAGCAAAAGTCTGTTTTATGATAATTGTAATAGTGCCCTCATTTCAATGAAATTAATTCTATTCACTTTAATTTTTTTTTCATACATCCGTTCTGTATATATTTCATAGATTAGTTAGAAATCGAAAAGCACATGAGCCGATTAATAAAATGAAGTTAAAATCCGAGCAGAAATAACTCCATATCAATTCCTCATATGTCATACACAAATGTTCCATTGGTTTTGCTATCAGCGCAGGCTAAAAACTTGCCTATTAGAAGAAAATTTACAGTTTTCCAGCAATGGGTTTACAGACGAATAATCATACAATTTAGGAGAGAGGGGAAAAAGGAGAGAAACGATTTAACTGAAATTTAACTAAAATTTTAAGGAATTGGTGTTTAGAAAGGTAACGTTGCACTGTTTGCAAAGGTGAAACTTGACTAATTTAATAATTTCTGTACCTCACATTGCTGAAAGCGTCTCCAAAAACAATATTCTTATTTGGGACATGACATGGTCCTCAACTAATGTGACAAAATTCATTACATATTGCTTAATATTATAATAATGTGGTGTTTCAGACAAGGTAGTCTTATCCAAAAATTAATAGTTTCTTATGTGAGGGAGTCAAAATGTAAATACAATTATTGTTTTTGTTACAAAACTCTTTACCAGTTTTACTGATTTCTATTACCGAAAAATGTGTGTTTGGAGCTTTTTCAGATCGATGAATTCAAATTTACATTTAATTGCTGCAATGGTCTGAAGCCATTTAAAACGCCAACATTTTTTTGGGTTTTAAAATATCGTTTTTTTGTTATTGTTTGTTTTGTGTAGTTGGTTCAAGTTGATGTGTCTCACATTTTTTGAGATACTGCAAACTGAAACCTCGAGTGATTTTTTGAAATAGGTTACCCAAGTTAGGCCTCTAAATACAAGAAAAATTATGCTCAAATTTTCAATAAAGCCAAACGTAACAAACATTAATCATTATTTATTTTGGCCCGATAAGAAGAAGAAAGAAGAAAAAAAGACTCAGGATCAACAATTATGTCATAATAATTGTGGAATTGAACCCCTCTGACTCCAACACATTTATTAACCCTTTTAATAAATAATTGTCATATTGGCAAAAAATTATTGTTTCGGATGACTTCTGAAACTGAAAACTTCTGAAATTTGTTACTTATAAACACAAACGATCGGGAGTTTCTTGTTGAACTTTCTCGAAATGAGTTATGTCCGGGCATTTTCAATAAATTCAACATAATAGTGGACGTTAAACGACTAGAAGTAAAACAAATTTTGTCCATGGCCGACAAAAACGCCAATTTTCGACAATATGAAGAACCAAGTTTTCGTTGGTTTAAAAAATCACTGGATGTTTCAATGTGAAACATCTCGAAAACGGTGAGACATCAACTTGAACCAAATACACTTTTTATACTTATAAATACCGGAGAACAAAATAGTGCCAACAGAAAAGCGGCATTTTCAAGCACCAGAAATTTCTGATGTTTTAAATATATCCAGACTATCGCAGCTAGCGCTCTTCAGAACCTACAAGCTAAGTAATTTATATTCCTCTGTCTGGAAAAACCCCAAAAGCGAAATTATTACTTGTTCAGAATACAATATACCATATGTAATCGTAGCCCAACGTTAGGAGTAAAAATTAAATAATACTGTTTGCTTTCAAGTATTGCTAAATATTGACAATAGCTTGAAATTAATTGAATTTTAGTTGTTAAATCACTTGCACCCTTGTTTATTCTATTACTCTTGCTCTAATCAAGTTGGAATAAAGCCGTGCTGGTGCAACAATTATTTATTCGTGCATTTTAATTACAATATCTATTAGAAAAGGAATTTTAAAGTTTTTTCCATAGATATATTTATATATTATAAAATGTAAATGATATCTACAAATGAAGAACCACGTCTCTGCTTCTAAAATCAATGAGAACATTTTTTCAAATCATGACTTATAGATTATTTTCATTCTGTTTAATTTGGGATCAAATATTATGTACTATTATGTACTGCAGCTGTGGAGAGGGTCGAATTATGTCGGCTGATTCTAAAGACTGCACCGACAAGGACGAATGTATCGATCTTCCGTGTCTAAATGGAGGAACGTGTATCAACTTGGAGCCAAATTTGAGGTACAGATGTAACTGTCCAGATGGTTTCTGGGGCGAAAACTGCGAACTAATTCAAGAAGGACAGACGCTAAAATTGTCGATGGGTGCCCTAGCCGCCATTCTGGTGTGCCTGTTGATTATCTTAAGTGAGCAAACGAATTCATGTTTACTTTGAATAGCAGTTGGTAATTTAGGAGGACTCTCGAGCAAATAATCCAGTAGAATTGTGCAAGTTAATAGTATTTTTTGAGAAGAAGGAAGAAATCTCCAAATTTTACCACTGCTATATCTGAAAGCACTTACATTTATTAACGCACCTATAGCATAAAGAATACGCATGTAGACTAGTGCATGTTTGTTGATTGTATGTGGTAAATGTTATGATAAAGTTGGAATATAAATAGGGACTTAAAAGTCTCACTCGCCAGTTGTCCGAAGTTTCAGGACTCCAGACTGAAAAACTAATTATTTGTTTGTAGGAAAGAAAACCGACAAAATTTAACTCCTTTAATTCGCCTCAACAGTTGTTCAATGCAATTGGAAATTTTATAAACTTTAAGTACCTAACTCTTCAACAGGAAAACTTCCAAATCTATTTATAAATCTGTTTATACTGGAGTTCTCAGAAAGTAAGAAACAGTGTTACGGAAACACAATATAGATAATTAAAATTCGACTCACAGTGCCACTATAAACTTTGAAACAACTTTATGAAACTTTACACGCTAACTGTTTTACAGTTAGTGTTGCATCGGTTTTGCATGCAGATAAAATATACATTGTTCCAGGAGTTGAATTACTATCTTATCCTAAAGTTTTCAGCGTACAAGATCTAACATGCGCATAGGCTATGCCATTAAATGTGCCCGCGATGAGGTGTCCAAGTTGATAATTATGTAAATTTCGCGAAAACTACACCGATCATGTTTCAGTTATCTAGTTTAATTTCTCATCCGAGGCGTTTATTTCATTGTTTGCAGGAACTACTTTGTGCATTACAACGCATAAAGATATCTCATTATTTGCTATTTTAAGTTGATCAGAAAGTCTCTAAAACAAGCAGCAGCACTGCTGCTAAATTCCCAGATTAGCCTTTTGCGTCTAGAGTATCTCCTAATTTATTCTAAACGAGAAAAGTTGCTTAAGTCAAATTGAAAATCAGAGATGTACAAAATATGCATAAAAGCTTACTAGAACCACGATTTGGTACTCTAAACAGGATGTCCCAAATTTACTTCCCACCTCCAGCGTTAGGATGTATGAGGTAACTATAATTTCGTTAGAAAAAAATTAAGAGAATTAGAAGCGCAATTTACAGTGCAGCACAGTGAGACGCGATTTGTTGTTAACGCAAAAAGTTTATCGCTTAAAGCAAAAATGTCAAAATTTTACTGTATGTATTTACTTTTTGAAGCAAGTGCTTGTTCGCATGGTAATATTTCCAAAGACAAATTTTAAGATTCAACTTAACGAAAGTCAAAAACAACTAAACGAAAAGCGCTCCAAACGTTCTTGACGAATTTAATTTTACATTTGGAGCCATTTATATGTGTATGCATTTCAATCAGCTGCAGTCACTAAAGTCATTAATACACAACGTGAGAACTGAAAATAATTACAGATTAATTTTGCGTTTCTAAAAATAATGTGTAAAGAAACAACACGCGAAGAAATCACTTAAAAATAGAACTGTTGCTCAACTCGAAAATTTTCAATTCGAAAACGAAATTTCAACTAATCAAAACTGTCTTTTAAAACTTCTGACTTCAAGAATTATTCAAAATTTAAGCTGGAGCTTAATTTTATTATCTTATTGTTTAACTCCAGTGCTCCAGGCCAATCTGATGCTGGGAAATGACCAGAAAGTGGTATAATGCATAACATTTTGGTTTAATGTTGTATATCATATCAAATATCGCCTTTTATTTGAAGTTTAAACCAAGAGCTCAATCGGAACTAAATTCACACTATAGTTAAGCTTACTGTTTACTGCCGAATACTGCAGAATATTTTTCTCTATTAATGTGGCAATTTCCGAGTTTTTGTGAATATTTTACCATTTTTGTGAAACACAGTAATGTAGCAAAAAGATTAAGTTGATAAATTAAGTGGATGATCTTATTGAATTATTACTCCACCCGATATAAATGAATGTGTTCGGAGAAAAATCTTAAAAAATGTATCGCATACATAAGTAAAGCAACTGTACATGAACTCTTAGGATATTGTTTTGTAAACTCGAGTAAACGAATAAAAAAGTAGGCAACAACAATATCAAATAATTCTAGGCTAGCACATTGGAAGACGATACACACAAAAATGCATTTTTGTTACAAGTAACAAAACTTAATAGGTACTAATATTCAATTATTGCACCCATAGTTAACAGCAACTGAGAAAGTTGCCTGATAAAGTTCTGCAAATTTCGGACACCATTTTTAAGTTTTTGAGATGAGACGCAATTCTGTAATACATCTTAACATTATATTGATAAATAACATGGGTGCGATAAGAAAATACAAATTTATGATTATCTCGACCCACCTATAGTTATTGAACATTCAAATTGTGTTAATACATTTTCAAGCTATGTATTTAAACTAAAAAACTTAAAAGCATTTCCACGTTTCTACTAGGCATTAATTTAGCTACAAGTGTTTTTCAAAAAGTCTCAAAGTTTATCAATGTCATTCTTTCTAAATGTATACTTTAACCAAAAAATAATCTTGTATAAAATATGTACGCCACATTAAAGTAAAGTTGAAAACAAAACAGATAAAACAATGTTAAAAAGCACAGCCCGTTCACACTTTCTCTGTAGATTAATATTTCTGTACACAATAAAGACATCGTAAACGCAAAAGTAATACCAAAAACAGTAAAGGAAATTGAATTGCTTCAAACACATAAAAAATATCAAATAACACGTTATTTTGATTTATTTTCCTGACTGCGTGTAATTGTTTTTTTTCTTTCCTGGGTTTCAGTCAAAATGTGAATTTTTTTTTTCATTTTGTTTATTTCATAAACCTATAATTAGAAAACATTAGATTCTTTTAGGGCTTAGCTGTCTTGAAACTATTCAATCAAATGTGAGGTTTCAAGTCAGGCAAGACCTAAAAGAATCTAATGTTTCCCAATTATGGGTTTGTGTTGAATTTTAAATCTGATGAAGGCGCTATTGTCTCGCCAAAACGTTATATGAAGTAAACGATATGAAACAAAAACGATTTCGCATTTTGACTGAAACCCAGGAAAGGAAAAATATAATAACACCAACACGTTATTAAAAATAAGTGAATCTTGCTTACACATTTAAACAGAGGCAATTTTAAAATAAAAATGTTTTTGCTTTTTTTTTCTAATTTTTTATACGCCAAATTTTAAGTCGAATTTGACCACTAAATTAATCCTGACAAACAAAACCAAGTTTTATCCAATATGCATTGCTCATCAAATGAACAATAATTAACAATATGCCGTAGGGAAATGATTTGGAATTAAAACAATTTCAATAATGAAAGTACAAAGGCATATTCTCGGAATTTGAATTACCAAAAGGACAACCGTGATTTTCGGAATTAGCAAATGAAAATAACAACTGATCGCTGGAAAATTATTAAGGAAAACAATGGAAAGATCGATGAGAGTCATAAATTGTGAATATCAGTGACAAAATGGACATAAGCGAGAAGCTTTGAATGAAGGTGATAAATCAGCCTATTTGAGTTAAACCTCAGCGACTTTGAATAAATGATGTAAAAATAGATCATTAGTCGTCACCAATAAAGCTTAAATATGCATTTAGATAAAATGCAAATACGACTGAGGGAAGCAAAGTGAAAGAACTCTGAAGTTACTATAAAAAAAATTTGTTCTGAATTAATATCGTTCAGTTTACATTTGAGATCTTTGTTCAACGATGGTTCACTGAAAGGTGGTGGTGGTGAAAATATGTAATTCCTAACGTTTTCGAACGGAAACTTTTAAAGTTTTCCCCATTTTGTTGAGTCTGACGCTAAAACTTTAAAGGCGTGAAAACTCTGGAGGATGCAACAGTAGCCAGTTCGATGTCTTATCCGCACTCACTTAATTGTCATTGAATTAATTTCCATATTTTCTTTTGTTAATAGTTATTCATCTAACTAAAGATCAAACTGTTGGAAACAAATGGAACAAAGTAAATACCTACTTTAAGATATATCTCATTGAGTAATTTTTTTTGTAAACAAGTCAGAAGTTTGATGCAGACTTAGCTGGGACGGTAAATAACTGAAACTAAATGGAATGGCCCAACAGTAAAATAAGTTTTTAAGTAAAACAGTAAGGTATTTTACTAGCAACTTAGAATGCCGGAAAAAGAATAGTAAAAAAATTGATCTGTTTGAGTTCAGTATTGAGCCGATGGTTGTCTAGTTCTTATAGATACCACGAAATTATTGGTAATTCTTCGTTTGAATAATCCACCCGTTCTTAAGTGCGAAGGATATTTTCAGAAGGAATTTTTTTTGTATACTTAAACGCGGTGCAACCTGTGCTCTCGCTAGCATTTATTTAGGGTCGCCATCGTAACAGGTTTCTAAATACTCAATCTAACTAAATCAATTATTACTGCAGGGTAGAATCTTTAGCTGGCGCAGTGCAGCGCAAATGGCTTGGTGCGCCAACCTAACCCACCGGCGCGGTAACTCAGTTCCGTTCCTGGTAAAATTTTGACGACCTTATTTTTTGTTGTTCTTAGATTTATTTTAAGGGCTATTAATTAATAATATTTTTAAATGTTCTTCAGAATATCAGAATTTTCCAGTTGTAGCAAATTTTCCAAAGTTTCACTTAAGGTGATTTCCGCGAAAAAATATAAAATAAATTTTATTAAAACATTCGTCTTCTTCGTCGCATTGTAGTCTTGAAAGTCTTGAAATTTGAAAAATTTAAAAAACTTTTTCCGGTTTCGAATTTGCGCCAAAAATCAAATATCTACGCAAGAAACGCATTATTTTCTAACGTTTTACTTAAAAATACTGACAATATTCAGCCATTTCCTGTGAAAAATTATAAATGAAATTTTGTTGTAAAATTTTTTCTCAAACTGTATGCTACTTCGAATTTTCGACAAACCCCTAATCATTTTTTTGGGTTTTTTTCTCAAAAATATTTTCTCAAGCAAAACAGGCGAATATTTATAATCAATTATTTGGAAAACTCGTCACCCTCATCGCTTTGAAGAATTTTTAAGGCTCTTCAAAACTTCCAGTTTTTCCCGTTTTAGGTCAAAAACCAAACAGTCAGTACTTTCAAACAAACGTTACTGGGAAAATTTTGATGATCCTTTGTTTTAGATGTTACACTTTAATAAATGACTTATAAATCATTAACCGATGAGTTAAAACTGATTAACTCAGAGAGCGACAACAACTCAAAAGCGCAACTCAACACAGTGTTAACCAGGCCTACCTAATAAAACATATTGAATTGAAGCTCAATTTCTATCAAACTTATCACAACATGAGATGTTTAAAAAAAGTTGAATTATGCAATAAAGGCCTAAAAGGATAAATGGAGAAAAGCTAAACCATTCAAGTTCTGTCCACGATATCTAGATGATCTCAGACGTTCCAGATAAGGCATTTAAAATGGTCTCAGAACTCTCCGGAGCTTCATAAATAGTGGGCTTGAAACTTAACATGGCCAAAACCCAATTGCCTATGCCAATACCATGAATAATCACCGACGTTTCGTTTCACTAATAGATGTTTGCCTCGGAAATATTAACATTCACACAAAATACTGCCAATAAAACAATTAACATAATTAACGAGTCCTGGAGAGGTCTAAGTTAGGCATGCCATCGCGAGAAAAAAATGCGAAATAAACAACTACATAGAAGCACAAAACTTACGGATGCAATAGGGAGTCTTCCACTTATGGAACTGGGCCGACCACGTCGCAAAAATGACATATAAAATATGGACGAAAATATTAGAATGGCGATCCAGAGCCAATACACATAAATCATGAAAAACTGTCGATTGATAAGGATTTCCTCAAAACGGCCGGATAACGATAGTGGAAGGCCCCTAAGATTGTGGCAGTGCACGAGACAAGCTGTATATGATGACAATGATGATAAATCTAACGTCTGTCTGTTAATATACCGTTTAATTTTCTTCGCAGTCGCAAAAATTCTAATTAACCTCATTAACTCAAGCAGCATAATCTCATAGAGACATTTTCCGAGCTTTTTCTAGCTAGTTGCTTCCTAGGCAAATTCCGTTAGAACGTCACTTCATTTTGGCAAATTTATGAAAAAAATGCCTTTCTTTCAAGATTTTTCTACTTCCTTTTTAATTTCAGACTACAAAATTAACATTTAAGCCAGGAGGAGTAAGTCTTGATGTTTGATATAAAATGACAACTTGAAAACATCCCAGTAGAAATATTGAATTTATCATGATAAAAGATCCGATTTCCCAATAGCTTACAATGTCTATTTACAAGTATTCTAGAGGTGCTGGTTCTAAGAAATATTTATGTTGGGCAAATAGATGTAACCAGCATATTTTTATATCTGGTCCATTTGAAGTTGAAATTCGATGCCATTTATCAATTCCATGCAAGGTAAAATTGATGATTTCGTTACCCTGTACGTAAATTCCAGTTCCCCGCAAATGCTCCATTCTACTGTGATCAGTGTCGAATATATTGAATTTTCCACATTGCAAATTGGGCATAAATTTCCTATAATATCTCTGAAAATTATACCTCTCTGGAATCATGCCGCAAATTTTGTCATCCATCACAGTGAAGGAAAGGTTTTCATTTAAATAGCAATTTCGTCACCATAATGCAGTTGGTAGTAACTAATTTCAAAATGTTGCGCCCAAAAAATCCGATTGAATTTTGGATTTTACAGTATCATTTGAAGTGTCCGATATTTGCTACTAGATGCTACATGAGATTACGAACGAAAACGTAATAATAAATAATTCAATGGTAAATTACTGGGAGCAGAGTACTTGTGGGTTTGGGTTAGAAATAATTGTAATTATAGCTAAGAAAACAAAATTTGCTAGAATTAACCATTATAACGCAGAAACTATGTTGTATTGTTACTTCATAGTTGTACGCAATTAATTGTAACGAATCAACAAATAGATGAATATACTCAGTCCCTCTGCAGTCCTATAAAAGGTGTAGTCTCTTTCAATTTTTGCAAGTGCTCACCAAAGGTATTATTTTAGATGCCAGGCCGGCTATCGGCTTCAAGACGGTAATTGTGCCAATGTAAATGAATGCGATTGGCTTCCATGCACAAACGGGGGTAGATGTGTTGATCATAATCCACCCTTAAGATATGAGTGCGTCTGCCCTTCAGGGCACACAGGATTAAACTGCGAGCTGGAATTGGCCTCAGCAGGAGCAATTTTACCTTCCAAAGACTTTATATTAACTGTTATAGGGTGTCTGATGGGACTTTTGGGTATGTATTCAGTTTGGACTTGCCTGAGAATGTAAGCCTTATTTTACTTCACTATATTGTGTAAATTTATCATCAAATTTAATGCATTTTTCAACTACAATTTTAACCTAATCGTCTTAATATATGCGTTGCCTGCTTGTGAGAAATGTAAAGTTTCCATTCAATTCAGAATTTCTCAACCCCCATTCAACTTCGGCTAATTTAGTTAAATAGGGAAAAAGTGAATATCCAATTGGAATATAATTTGTTAAAAATGTAATTACAAACTAATCAAACTAGAGTCAAGTCATAACTAGTTTCAGGGTATATCTAATTTAAAGTTCCAACTCTCCGGTCTAGGCAAACTAGTGTGACTATAAACTTTTAAACTTAGTGAACGTTGTCTCCTAAAACTTGTTTTACAGTGAATTAGAAATGCTCGAACTTCATTTTTAAATTAAATTACGCTCAGTTGTCAGAAACAAAAAATAATTTAAAATTTGTTTCCCTTTGTTTGCCTAAAGTGAACAATCAAAGGTTATAAAAACTATTTTAATTTCCTCAGTGGAATCAGTGCAAAATGTATAGAAGCAGAAGGTTTATTCAAAATATAAATCAATAATACATCAGTGATATCTTATCAATTACCCTTGGAGCTCTGATAATATTTCGCATGTAAAAAATCCAATTTTCCCAAATTCACTGGAGCATAAAAACCGATTACAGCACGACTCGCTCTAGTAACTGTTTTCGACATTTGAATAAATAACTCCTATTTTTTAGATTTTACTTCTTTGTCTTGCCCCATTTACTGTGAGTTGACTGAAGTTTGTTTAAATCTTTTACTTAGAAACTCGAATATATTGCAACCGATTGATCGCAAGCATAAGAATTCATTTTATGAAATAAATTTGGATATGAGATGTACATCTGCAGCTACAGTTGCAACAGTACCATACCGCTTTCCATGTTCATTTTCATAAGTTATTTATTCATTTTGCTTCTAAAGATGACATATTGCAAGTGGCCTACAGTGCCACATTTCCGATTTTCTTGCTTTAAAATCAATCAAAATTTGGATCTAGTTAATGAATATGAAATGAAAATTAAATTATTTTTTAAGAAGCTTAGGTAATCATGAATCTTGGATAAATAATAATTAAGGCGTTTTAAAGATATATAGATCAGGAAAAATTGTACGAAATTGATAAATTGTGCTAGTAGCTAACAACACTTACTTGATCTTAATGACTATTGTGTTTTTATAATTTATAAATCTAATATACGATGTATTAGATTATACTTGACTTGCTTTCGCTTACAAACGTTCTCTGGAAGTTTTTTCTTTTCTTTTTTTCCAAAATTTATTAACTTCGCAAATTTTCACTGTCCTACAAATGGACTTGCTTAACGCATTTTTTTAATATTCCTGATTACCTTCAATTCATCGATTCGATCAAAAGTTATTTGATTTAGAACCAAGAAAATCGAAAATGTGACATTGTGTGGCGAGTTTTAAATGATTCCATTTGTTTAAGTGCTAGCTCCAACGCTTTCGTGTGGCTGGGTAAGCTAGCCGTGTTTAAATTTTTGGATAAGAAGGCACTTGTATAGTATTTAATCAAACTGTATATATTAGTACAGCCAGGTAGGCTCGAGTATTCTTAGTGGTACAAATCGTTTTTACAACTTTCTTCTTCTTCAAAAGGATGAGGGATGCCACCCTTATATAGGCAACCACCTCTACCGTAATTTTGCCCAACTAGGCGGCGTTGCCAACCCCTATTCTTTATTTAATTAATTAACAGATCGATGAGAGTCATAAATTGTGAATATCAGTGACAAAATGGACATAAGCGAGAAGCTTTGAATGAAGGTGATAAATCAGCCTATTTGAGTTAAACCTCAGCGACTTTGAATAAATGATGTAAAAATAGATCATTAGTCGTCACCAATAAAGCTTAAATATGCATTTAGATAAAATGCAAATACGACTGAGGGAAGCAAAGTGAAAGAACTCTGAAGTTACTATAAAAAAAATTTGTTCTGAATTAATATCGTTCAGTTTACATTTGAGATCTTTGTTCAACGATGGTTCACTGAAAGGTGGTGGTGGTGAAAATATGTAATTCCTAACGTTTTCGAACGGAAACTTTTAAAGTTTTCCCCATTTTGTTGAGTCTGACGCTAAAACTTTAAAGGCGTGAAAACTCTGGAGGATGCAACAGTAGCCAGTTCGATGTCTTATCCGCACTCACTTAATTGTCATTGAATTAATTTCCATATTTTCTTTTGTTAATAGTTATTCATCTAACTAAAGATCAAACTGTTGGAAACAAATGGAACAAAGTAAATACCTACTTTAAGATATATCTCATTGAGTAATTTTTTTTGTAAACAAGTCAGAAGTTTGATGCAGACTTAGCTGGGACGGTAAATAACTGAAACTAAATGGAATGGCCCAACAGTAAAATAAGTTTTTAAGTAAAACAGTAAGGTATTTTACTAGCAACTTAGAATGCCGGAAAAAGAATAGTAAAAAAATTGATCTGTTTGAGTTCAGTATTGAGCCGATGGTTGTCTAGTTCTTATAGATACCACGAAATTATTGGTAATTCTTCGTTTGAATAATCCACCCGTTCTTAAGTGCGAAGGATATTTTCAGAAGGAATTTTTTTTGTATACTTAAACGCGGTGCAACCTGTGCTCTCGCTAGCATTTATTTAGGGTCGCCATCGTAACAGGTTTCTAAATACTCAATCTAACTAAATCAATTATTACTGCAGGGTAGAATCTTTAGCTGGCGCAGTGCAGCGCAAATGGCTTGGTGCGCCAACCTAACCCACCGGCGCGGTAACTCAGTTCCGTTCCTGGTAAAATTTTGACGACCTTATTTTTTGTTGTTCTTAGATTTATTTTAAGGGCTATTAATTAATAATATTTTTAAATGTTCTTCAGAATATCAGAATTTTCCAGTTGTAGCAAATTTTCCAAAGTTTCACTTAAGGTGATTTCCGCGAAAAAATATAAAATAAATTTTATTAAAACATTCGTCTTCTTCGTCGCATTGTAGTCTTGAAAGTCTTGAAATTTGAAAAATTTAAAAAACTTTTTCCGGTTTCGAATTTGCGCCAAAAATCAAATATCTACGCAAGAAACGCATTATTTTCTAACGTTTTACTTAAAAATACTGACAATATTCAGCCATTTCCTGTGAAAAATTATAAATGAAATTTTGTTGTAAAATTTTTTCTCAAACTGTATGCTACTTCGAATTTTCGACAAACCCCACCTGTTAGGCCTAATTAATTTTAGAATGTTTTAAAGTGTTGCAATTGTGATGTATTTTAGTGTGTGATATGATGAGGCTGTTGACGAACTGTGATCTTTTAAATTAATAAAAAATTTTGAACTATCTGTTATTTTATAAAAACTGATGATGGTGGAAAAATACACCGAAACGTATTTTAATCGATAAATAGAGAAAATAAATGACTGAAACCCAGGAATTAATTTTGATTTAGAGTTGAAACACGGTCAGGAAAGTATGTACAATCATTGATAATAAGGGTGATTTCAATCAGTCATCAAATTATCAATAATGTATTCGACTAAATATTAGTAATGTATTGTAAATCAATACTTCCAATTCACCGATCAGTGTCCACAAAAAATATGCTTGGAAAAGGTCCACGACTAAATCTGAATCTAAATTTGCCGGAGTATAATGAATATTGAATTTCAAATAATTTTTTAAACCAAATAGATCATCCTCTGAATTGTTTTGGAATATTATATAGATGAATTATCATGGAATTTTTATTACTTACGTCTTAGTAAGTATGCACTTTTATTGTTGAAACCAATTAAAGGCACGAGTCCATGAAGTTCTTGTGCTGCAAAAAAACAAAAAAATTCTGAGGTAAAAGGTTTGGAATGAAACCTTATCGGAGATTTTTTCCTTCAATATATTTCACTAATCAAATATATTTTCACTGATACTCGTTGACATAACATAACAGCTTCATTCAATCGTATCTTTAATTATTTTTTAATAACCTCTATGCTATATTAAATTGATCTTTCATCAGAAATATATTTTCTGGAATGCAAGCAAAATAATTTATTATCAAGTTGCTAACTTAGTCGTGGTCAAATATAATGGATGCGTACAATCCGTCATCTTCTTAGTTAACAACCCTCTGCAATACCTATTTTTCCAATGCCAGTTCTTTCCCATGAACATCCAGAATCCCAATTACGATCGACTAAATTAAATTAAAATCCTAACAAGAGAGTCGACTCAATTTCTCCACATTATTGAGTTTTCGCAGAATAGAAAACTATTTGTGAATTAAGCCTTATATTTTTTCAGCAAACAATTAATATACTGAAGGACATATTATTTTACAGGATGTTTGGATGATGTCCGACTAGAAGGTAAACACCTGCCGCTGCCACCAGCCATGAATGGTACTCAATGGGGTCAGGCAACTATGGCCAGGAACCTGGACCGTGGATGTTCGTCCAATAAACCCTGTGCCAATGTTATCTGTCCAGAGCCTTTCGAATGTGTTGATTTGTGGAACGACTACGAATGCACGTAAGTATTGATTGGTTTCATTAATAAAACATTCCATAATTATTACTGAATGTTGTATGAGGCAATATTCATAATTAGGAATACTGACTAAAATTGTGTCCAGGTGGATAATTTATGAGGATTGGTACACGTTATTATCGTGTAGTGTGTAGTTTTAAACAGCTTAAGTAAATGAATTTACATATTCCAGTAAACACAGGCAAATGCACACAAACTTTTCACAACAGAATACGAGGTTACACCTATTTTCAGTTGCAAAGGTACTGAGTACGTTCCCATTTAAATATGTCTTTATGTTTTAGTAATACCCCAAGACTCATGCACAAAGTATTGATTTTTGAAACGAACTATTTTCCACTTAGTTCAATGTAAATATCACAAAGTATACATTTTATTTATGTACTAAAATACTATTAATTCAGACGTAAGCAGCATTGCTGCTCTTCGAATCAGATACATGAAAGGGATGCTTGAGAATGAGTTCAATGACCATTGTGCCTGGCCGGAATTAGCATTTCCAAACATAAAGAAACTGTTGTAGTTAATAAGCATTAACTCGGTGCCATTCGTCCCACTTTACAATAGGTACTCAAATATTCCGGTTTTATATCTACATTTATTATCTTGTTAAAACAATAACCAATTGTCTAAATGATCACAAAGTAAAGCTGCAATAACGCTCATTGCAGAAAGCTAACAAAAAGATATCTTCCCGTCGGTCTCATCAAAATGAAAGAATTTTAAAATTGTTTTCTCTGTATTCACAAGCGTAGCAATAAAACTAAATTAAAAGAATTACGTCGTAAAAGAATGTTTTATTTGAAATATTTGCAAATTATATTAGCTTCTTAAAAAAGGAAATTTTATTAGAATATCGCAGATCACAAGAAACGATATGAAAACAAACTGAATAATCACATAAGTGTGTAATGTAAGAGCGTATTTTCATAGACATAAACTCACTTTTGGGACCGTTTGCTTTAATTCATTTTACTCATTCATTAACTTGTAAGTCTTATTTAGCAATAAAAATTGATATTTTCGCATTTGCTTATATCTCAGCTAATTCCTAATTGGCGTGAAGGTTTTAGTGTTTATCTAACTTAAATCCTATTATTTTTCAGTAAAAATGAAGGCCTCATAAGAAGGGGCATTTGCTTGTAAACTATTGAAAGCACATTTTATTTGAGAGCGATTTAATTCAAGATTTTGTTTAATTGCATTTTAACCTTCATAAGCAGGATTGGTTTTGTAAATAACAATTAAGTTTTGACTGCAAAAATGTATTCAAGAAATTGGCTTAAAACAAAAACCTTCCTACATATGTTTTTAAAAATTCAGCATTTTCTATAAAAAAAGGGATGAGCACAGTTCAAATTTTAATTTAAAAAAGTAATTTTTATTAATATCAGATATATTCTTTCGATACTGCATTTCTAAAAGGCATGACGAATTCTTGGGGTGTGTGATGTACTTTTCATTATTTGATTTACTTTCTTGTGTAGTATGTAGAGGTATAGTTTTGTCTTGGTTTTGGGAGTGTTTTTGTCATTCCCGTCAATATTTTGGCTTTATTAATCTCTTTTTGCTTCGTTTGTGTTATTTTATTTGATTTTCTTGGCAATATATTGTACTTACATACATCGGGATTACACCATTCAATGTGAGTGTTAATGAGTCAGTTGTGTGCGAAAATATAACATTACAATGGACAGAGCTAAATAACCAGAACACAAACAATTTCACAAACACTCAACCACTAGCACAGTACGATTCTACAGTTTAAGACTCAAGAGTCTCCGATATAGGTATTGAAAACTTTACTTATAATCATGTTGTAATATTTAGAGAAATTTATAAAATATTGAAGCAAAAGTCTGTTTTATGATAATTGTAATAGTGCCCTCATTTCAATGAAATTAATTCTATTCACTTTAATTTTTTTTTCATACATCCGTTCTGTATATATTTCATAGATTAGTTAGAAATCGAAAAGCACATGAGCCGATTAATAAAATGAAGTTAAAATCCGAGCAGAAATAACTCCATATCAATTCCTCATATGTCATACACAAATGTTCCATTGGTTTTGCTATCAGCGCAGGCTAAAAACTTGCCTATTAGAAGAAAATTTACAGTTTTCCAGCAATGGGTTTACAGACGAATAATCATACAATTTAGGAGAGAGGGGAAAAAGGAGAGAAACGATTTAACTGAAATTTAACTAAAATTTTAAGGAATTGGTGTTTAGAAAGGTAACGTTGCACTGTTTGCAAAGGTGAAACTTGACTAATTTAATAATTTCTGTACCTCACATTGCTGAAAGCGTCTCCAAAAACAATATTCTTATTTGGGACATGACATGGTCCTCAACTAATGTGACAAAATTCATTACATATTGCTTAATATTATAATAATGTGGTGTTTCAGACAAGGTAGTCTTATCCAAAAATTAATAGTTTCTTATGTGAGGGAGTCAAAATGTAAATACAATTATTGTTTTTGTTACAAAACTCTTTACCAGTTTTACTGATTTCTATTACCGAAAAATGTGTGTTTGGAGCTTTTTCAGATCGATGAATTCAAATTTACATTTAATTGCTGCAATGGTCTGAAGCCATTTAAAACGCCAACATTTTTTTGGGTTTTAAAATATCGTTTTTTTGTTATTGTTTGTTTTGTGTAGTTGGTTCAAGTTGATGTGTCTCACATTTTTTGAGATACTGCAAACTGAAACCTCGAGTGATTTTTTGAAATAGGTTACCCAAGTTAGGCCTCTAAATACAAGAAAAATTATGCTCAAATTTTCAATAAAGCCAAACGTAACAAACATTAATCATTATTTATTTTGGCCCGATAAGAAGAAGAAAGAAGAAAAAAAGACTCAGGATCAACAATTATGTCATAATAATTGTGGAATTGAACCCCTCTGACTCCAACACATTTATTAACCCTTTTAATAAATAATTGTCATATTGGCAAAAAATTATTGTTTCGGATGACTTCTGAAACTGAAAACTTCTGAAATTTGTTACTTATAAACACAAACGATCGGGAGTTTCTTGTTGAACTTTCTCGAAATGAGTTATGTCCGGGCATTTTCAATAAATTCAACATAATAGTGGACGTTAAACGACTAGAAGTAAAACAAATTTTGTCCATGGCCGACAAAAACGCCAATTTTCGACAATATGAAGAACCAAGTTTTCGTTGGTTTAAAAAATCACTGGATGTTTCAATGTGAAACATCTCGAAAACGGTGAGACATCAACTTGAACCAAATACACTTTTTATACTTATAAATACCGGAGAACAAAATAGTGCCAACAGAAAAGCGGCATTTTCAAGCACCAGAAATTTCTGATGTTTTAAATATATCCAGACTATCGCAGCTAGCGCTCTTCAGAACCTACAAGCTAAGTAATTTATATTCCTCTGTCTGGAAAAACCCCAAAAGCGAAATTATTACTTGTTCAGAATACAATATACCATATGTAATCGTAGCCCAACGTTAGGAGTAAAAATTAAATAATACTGTTTGCTTTCAAGTATTGCTAAATATTGACAATAGCTTGAAATTAATTGAATTTTAGTTGTTAAATCACTTGCACCCTTGTTTATTCTATTACTCTTGCTCTAATCAAGTTGGAATAAAGCCGTGCTGGTGCAACAATTATTTATTCGTGCATTTTAATTACAATATCTATTAGAAAAGGAATTTTAAAGTTTTTTCCATAGATATATTTATATATTATAAAATGTAAATGATATCTACAAATGAAGAACCACGTCTCTGCTTCTAAAATCAATGAGAACATTTTTTCAAATCATGACTTATAGATTATTTTCATTCTGTTTAATTTGGGATCAAATATTATGTACTATTATGTACTGCAGCTGTGGAGAGGGTCGAATTATGTCGGCTGATTCTAAAGACTGCACCGACAAGGACGAATGTATCGATCTTCCGTGTCTAAATGGAGGAACGTGTATCAACTTGGAGCCAAATTTGAGGTACAGATGTAACTGTCCAGATGGTTTCTGGGGCGAAAACTGCGAACTAATTCAAGAAGGACAGACGCTAAAATTGTCGATGGGTGCCCTAGCCGCCATTCTGGTGTGCCTGTTGATTATCTTAAGTGAGCAAACGAATTCATGTTTACTTTGAATAGCAGTTGGTAATTTAGGAGGACTCTCGAGCAAATAATCCAGTAGAATTGTGCAAGTTAATAGTATTTTTTGAGAAGAAGGAAGAAATCTCCAAATTTTACCACTGCTATATCTGAAAGCACTTACATTTATTAACGCACCTATAGCATAAAGAATACGCATGTAGACTAGTGCATGTTTGTTGATTGTATGTGGTAAATGTTATGATAAAGTTGGAATATAAATAGGGACTTAAAAGTCTCACTCGCCAGTTGTCCGAAGTTTCAGGACTCCAGACTGAAAAACTAATTATTTGTTTGTAGGAAAGAAAACCGACAAAATTTAACTCCTTTAATTCGCCTCAACAGTTGTTCAATGCAATTGGAAATTTTATAAACTTTAAGTACCTAACTCTTCAACAGGAAAACTTCCAAATCTATTTATAAATCTGTTTATACTGGAGTTCTCAGAAAGTAAGAAACAGTGTTACGGAAACACAATATAGATAATTAAAATTCGACTCACAGTGCCACTATAAACTTTGAAACAACTTTATGAAACTTTACACGCTAACTGTTTTACAGTTAGTGTTGCATCGGTTTTGCATGCAGATAAAATATACATTGTTCCAGGAGTTGAATTACTATCTTATCCTAAAGTTTTCAGCGTACAAGATCTAACATGCGCATAGGCTATGCCATTAAATGTGCCCGCGATGAGGTGTCCAAGTTGATAATTATGTAAATTTCGCGAAAACTACACCGATCATGTTTCAGTTATCTAGTTTAATTTCTCATCCGAGGCGTTTATTTCATTGTTTGCAGGAACTACTTTGTGCATTACAACGCATAAAGATATCTCATTATTTGCTATTTTAAGTTGATCAGAAAGTCTCTAAAACAAGCAGCAGCACTGCTGCTAAATTCCCAGATTAGCCTTTTGCGTCTAGAGTATCTCCTAATTTATTCTAAACGAGAAAAGTTGCTTAAGTCAAATTGAAAATCAGAGATGTACAAAATATGCATAAAAGCTTACTAGAACCACGATTTGGTACTCTAAACAGGATGTCCCAAATTTACTTCCCACCTCCAGCGTTAGGATGTATGAGGTAACTATAATTTCGTTAGAAAAAAATTAAGAGAATTAGAAGCGCAATTTACAGTGCAGCACAGTGAGACGCGATTTGTTGTTAACGCAAAAAGTTTATCGCTTAAAGCAAAAATGTCAAAATTTTACTGTATGTATTTACTTTTTGAAGCAAGTGCTTGTTCGCATGGTAATATTTCCAAAGACAAATTTTAAGATTCAACTTAACGAAAGTCAAAAACAACTAAACGAAAAGCGCTCCAAACGTTCTTGACGAATTTAATTTTACATTTGGAGCCATTTATATGTGTATGCATTTCAATCAGCTGCAGTCACTAAAGTCATTAATACACAACGTGAGAACTGAAAATAATTACAGATTAATTTTGCGTTTCTAAAAATAATGTGTAAAGAAACAACACGCGAAGAAATCACTTAAAAATAGAACTGTTGCTCAACTCGAAAATTTTCAATTCGAAAACGAAATTTCAACTAATCAAAACTGTCTTTTAAAACTTCTGACTTCAAGAATTATTCAAAATTTAAGCTGGAGCTTAATTTTATTATCTTATTGTTTAACTCCAGTGCTCCAGGCCAATCTGATGCTGGGAAATGACCAGAAAGTGGTATAATGCATAACATTTTGGTTTAATGTTGTATATCATATCAAATATCGCCTTTTATTTGAAGTTTAAACCAAGAGCTCAATCGGAACTAAATTCACACTATAGTTAAGCTTACTGTTTACTGCCGAATACTGCAGAATATTTTTCTCTATTAATGTGGCAATTTCCGAGTTTTTGTGAATATTTTACCATTTTTGTGAAACACAGTAATGTAGCAAAAAGATTAAGTTGATAAATTAAGTGGATGATCTTATTGAATTATTACTCCACCCGATATAAATGAATGTGTTCGGAGAAAAATCTTAAAAAATGTATCGCATACATAAGTAAAGCAACTGTACATGAACTCTTAGGATATTGTTTTGTAAACTCGAGTAAACGAATAAAAAAGTAGGCAACAACAATATCAAATAATTCTAGGCTAGCACATTGGAAGACGATACACACAAAAATGCATTTTTGTTACAAGTAACAAAACTTAATAGGTACTAATATTCAATTATTGCACCCATAGTTAACAGCAACTGAGAAAGTTGCCTGATAAAGTTCTGCAAATTTCGGACACCATTTTTAAGTTTTTGAGATGAGACGCAATTCTGTAATACATCTTAACATTATATTGATAAATAACATGGGTGCGATAAGAAAATACAAATTTATGATTATCTCGACCCACCTATAGTTATTGAACATTCAAATTGTGTTAATACATTTTCAAGCTATGTATTTAAACTAAAAAACTTAAAAGCATTTCCACGTTTCTACTAGGCATTAATTTAGCTACAAGTGTTTTTCAAAAAGTCTCAAAGTTTATCAATGTCATTCTTTCTAAATGTATACTTTAACCAAAAAATAATCTTGTATAAAATATGTACGCCACATTAAAGTAAAGTTGAAAACAAAACAGATAAAACAATGTTAAAAAGCACAGCCCGTTCACACTTTCTCTGTAGATTAATATTTCTGTACACAATAAAGACATCGTAAACGCAAAAGTAATACCAAAAACAGTAAAGGAAATTGAATTGCTTCAAACACATAAAAAATATCAAATAACACGTTATTTTGATTTATTTTCCTGACTGCGTGTAATTGTTTTTTTTCTTTCCTGGGTTTCAGTCAAAATGTGAATTTTTTTTTTCATTTTGTTTATTTCATAAACCTATAATTAGAAAACATTAGATTCTTTTAGGGCTTAGCTGTCTTGAAACTATTCAATCAAATGTGAGGTTTCAAGTCAGGCAAGACCTAAAAGAATCTAATGTTTCCCAATTATGGGTTTGTGTTGAATTTTAAATCTGATGAAGGCGCTATTGTCTCGCCAAAACGTTATATGAAGTAAACGATATGAAACAAAAACGATTTCGCATTTTGACTGAAACCCAGGAAAGGAAAAATATAATAACACCAACACGTTATTAAAAATAAGTGAATCTTGCTTACACATTTAAACAGAGGCAATTTTAAAATAAAAATGTTTTTGCTTTTTTTTTCTAATTTTTTATACGCCAAATTTTAAGTCGAATTTGACCACTAAATTAATCCTGACAAACAAAACCAAGTTTTATCCAATATGCATTGCTCATCAAATGAACAATAATTAACAATATGCCGTAGGGAAATGATTTGGAATTAAAACAATTTCAATAATGAAAGTACAAAGGCATATTCTCGGAATTTGAATTACCAAAAGGACAACCGTGATTTTCGGAATTAGCAAATGAAAATAACAACTGATCGCTGGAAAATTATTAAGGAAAACAATGGAAAGATCGATGAGAGTCATAAATTGTGAATATCAGTGACAAAATGGACATAAGCGAGAAGCTTTGAATGAAGGTGATAAATCAGCCTATTTGAGTTAAACCTCAGCGACTTTGAATAAATGATGTAAAAATAGATCATTAGTCGTCACCAATAAAGCTTAAATATGCATTTAGATAAAATGCAAATACGACTGAGGGAAGCAAAGTGAAAGAACTCTGAAGTTACTATAAAAAAAATTTGTTCTGAATTAATATCGTTCAGTTTACATTTGAGATCTTTGTTCAACGATGGTTCACTGAAAGGTGGTGGTGGTGAAAATATGTAATTCCTAACGTTTTCGAACGGAAACTTTTAAAGTTTTCCCCATTTTGTTGAGTCTGACGCTAAAACTTTAAAGGCGTGAAAACTCTGGAGGATGCAACAGTAGCCAGTTCGATGTCTTATCCGCACTCACTTAATTGTCATTGAATTAATTTCCATATTTTCTTTTGTTAATAGTTATTCATCTAACTAAAGATCAAACTGTTGGAAACAAATGGAACAAAGTAAATACCTACTTTAAGATATATCTCATTGAGTAATTTTTTTTGTAAACAAGTCAGAAGTTTGATGCAGACTTAGCTGGGACGGTAAATAACTGAAACTAAATGGAATGGCCCAACAGTAAAATAAGTTTTTAAGTAAAACAGTAAGGTATTTTACTAGCAACTTAGAATGCCGGAAAAAGAATAGTAAAAAAATTGATCTGTTTGAGTTCAGTATTGAGCCGATGGTTGTCTAGTTCTTATAGATACCACGAAATTATTGGTAATTCTTCGTTTGAATAATCCACCCGTTCTTAAGTGCGAAGGATATTTTCAGAAGGAATTTTTTTTGTATACTTAAACGCGGTGCAACCTGTGCTCTCGCTAGCATTTATTTAGGGTCGCCATCGTAACAGGTTTCTAAATACTCAATCTAACTAAATCAATTATTACTGCAGGGTAGAATCTTTAGCTGGCGCAGTGCAGCGCAAATGGCTTGGTGCGCCAACCTAACCCACCGGCGCGGTAACTCAGTTCCGTTCCTGGTAAAATTTTGACGACCTTATTTTTTGTTGTTCTTAGATTTATTTTAAGGGCTATTAATTAATAATATTTTTAAATGTTCTTCAGAATATCAGAATTTTCCAGTTGTAGCAAATTTTCCAAAGTTTCACTTAAGGTGATTTCCGCGAAAAAATATAAAATAAATTTTATTAAAACATTCGTCTTCTTCGTCGCATTGTAGTCTTGAAAGTCTTGAAATTTGAAAAATTTAAAAAACTTTTTCCGGTTTCGAATTTGCGCCAAAAATCAAATATCTACGCAAGAAACGCATTATTTTCTAACGTTTTACTTAAAAATACTGACAATATTCAGCCATTTCCTGTGAAAAATTATAAATGAAATTTTGTTGTAAAATTTTTTCTCAAACTGTATGCTACTTCGAATTTTCGACAAACCCCTAATCATTTTTTTGGGTTTTTTTCT